CTGTTGTTCAAACCAGAGGGTCAGCTCTGAGGCTGGGAATCCACACATGCACAGGATCGACTGCACTTATACTCGAGGTCAGGGCCCTTAACCCCTGTGTTGTTTAAGGGCCAACTGTACCATATTTTATTTATCCATCTGCCTGGTTGATTCCAGTTTGGGATGATTATATTAAAGGTACTATAAATATCCCTGTGCAGGTTTTTGTGTGGACATAAGTTATCAATTCGTGTTATTTAGAAGCATATTGTTTATTCCCCAAATGTTTTGGGGTTTTCCAGGTATCTTTCTATTATCGATTACTAGTTTAATTTCATTGTGGTCTGAGAGCACACTTTGCACGATTTCTGGGTTTCTAAGTTTGTTCAGGTGTGCTTTATGGCCCAGAATGTTATTTCTCTTGGTAAATGTTCCATGTGAGCTTCAGAAGAATGTGTATACTGTTGTTACTGGATGAATCACATGAATTGACAAAGATGTCAGTTGGATCTAGGTAACTGATAATGCTTTGCAGTTTAGCTATATGTTTACAGATTTTCAGTTTGCTCATTCTGCCAGTTACTGATAGAGGGGTGTTGAAGTCTCTAACTATAATAGTGGAAATAACTATATCTAATCTATATCAATAGATCTATAACTATATACGTATATATGTATACATATATAGACGTGTATGTGTGTGTGTGTGTATGTGTGTGTGTGTGTGTGTGTGTGTGTGTATGTATTCAGGACAACCTTCTATTTACTAAGCGTCTGCTCTTCTTATCATCCTGCAGTGACCCTTTGCAGCCCCCAAGGCACCTAACCGCATCCCTAGCTCAGGACCTAACCGCATCCCTAGCTCAGGACCTAACCGCATCCCTAGCTCAGGACCTAACCGCATCCCTAGCTCAGGACCTAACCGCATCCCTAGCTCAGGACGTCTTACACACCTCAGTCCCCCTTTCTCTCTCTGAACCCCATGTGTATGTGTGGTCTCTGACTCATTCATGTATGCGGGGTTCCCACACATATGTATGTATTAAATTAGGTTATTCTTTTCTCGTTATTCTGTCTCTTGTCTATTTGATTGTTAGACCAGCCAGAAAACCTCGAGGGTAGAGAAAAGTTTGTTCCTCTCCCACAAATCAAAGGCATCACTGTGTTGACTGGGTCGTCTATTGGGTGAAAATCTTTTCCTAAAAATGGCAGGGGGCCCCTCACATGCCTGCAGAAGATGCCTCACATTCTTTTTTACTTTGCCGGATGTGATTTTAAACTTATGCCTGTCCTCTAAGGACTTCAAATCCCAAACCACAATCATGCAAAGAATATAAAGTCACCACAATACATGTCTACTTTTAGACTCTGGGGACTTTTAGATCAAGTAAGAAAGGAGAGAGGCACCCAGCTCTTCGGAACAGGTTTGGCCCTTGGGTTAGATTTACAAAAACGAAACCCAACCCTTTTTTAAAATCACTCTTCAAAACCAACTTGAATTCTGGAATCTTAATAGTCTCCGACATTACAGATATAAATTGCTCATTAGATCTTACTCTGAGCCATCATGGTGCTTGGCGCTGTGAGGGATGCGTCTGAGAAGCGTCATTCATGATCCCAGGCTCTGTGGCTGGGCTCTTAACTCAGATGTCCTCCTGATGCCCAACCCATAGCCTTTCCTACTGCAGCAAAGCCTCTCCTCTGACGTGATTGCTTTATCATAATCTTCTAAGAGCTAAAGATGGACCCCTGTATGAGAAGAGCTGCTCCGCAGTAGAACTTCCAAGCACTGCCCTTAGCTCTGGGCGCCTGGGCCGGCTGCCGACCCAGGCTCAGTGCTGTAGGTTCTCCTCTGGCTGCACCTCTCACTGGCCAAGAAGGGGGCTACCTGGAGCCCCCTCCTTCTAGACTGACCAGGTACCCAGGGTCTCAGAATTCCTTGCCCGCAAGGTCTATCCCCAGGACTGCCTGGGTTTTTCCCCCAGGCCTGACTTTCTGGGGGCTGATCCCGCTGCCAGGGTGTCCTCAGAGACCTGAGAGTTGACTTCAGCTGGGGAAGTGGTATGTGAAGGAGGCAGCTGGGGTGTCTACGCGGGCATGTGTGTGGCCCTGGGGTGCAGGACAGGGTTTGGGGTGGGAAGCTGAAAGCATCCATTTGTTTTCTTTCCCTGGTCCTTGTAAATATCAGGTTGTTCCTGCCCAGTTCTGGTGAAATGAAACTTCCTTATATATAGCACATGTTGATATTGATAATATATACATCCCCTTGCAGTTCTCAGTCTTTGCCCCATGAGTTTTGATTCTCTGTTCATACACGTTAAGGACTGTTATGTCTCTTGGGATAACTGACCCATTTATCACTATGTAATGCCCCTCTGGTGTAAAGGATTGGTATTCTTTCTTTAAATATCCAATAAAATTCACCAGTAAAACTATTTGTCTTCTTTATGGAAAGATTTAAAAATTACTAATTCAATTTCTTTACCTGTTACAGGCTTATTCATATTTCTATTTCTTCTAGAGTCACTTTTGGTAATTTGTCTTTTTAGAAATTTATTTCATCTAAGTTGTACAACTTACTGGTACGGAGTTGTTTATACATACCTCCTTATAATTTTTTAAATTGCTGTACCTTTTTCATTCCTAATTTTGGAAATTTGTGTTTTCTCTCTTAATTTATTGGTCAGTGTACCTAAAGGGCTGTCAATTTTGCTGATCTTTTCAAAGAGCCAACTTGTGGTTTCACTGGTCTATTGTTTTCCTGTTTTCTCTTTGGCTGATATCTGCTCTAATCTTTATTTTTTCCTTTCTTCTCTTGCTTTGGGTTTAGTTTACTTATTATTATCTGGTTTCTTAAGGTGGATTTTCAGGTTGTTGATTTTAGCCCCTCTTTCCTCTTTTCTGATGTAGGTATTTATAGCTATAAATTTCACTCTATGCATTATTTTATCTGTTATTCCATACATTTTGAAATTTTGTATTTCATTTATTTCAAAATATTTTAAAATGTTTCTTGTAATTGATATCTTCTTTGACACAGAGTTTTTAGTATGTATTGTTTTATTTCCAAATATTTTGAGGTTTCTCAGATTCTTTGTTACTGAGGCTCTTAATTCTATATGTCAGAGAACATACTTAGTATAGTTTCAATCTTAAAATCTATTGAGACTTGTTTTGTGGTCCAGCAATGGTTTATTCAGTTTAAAGCATTAAAACATTTTTTTATCCTGAGGATATTTACCTGAGGACATTTTTCATTGCTTTTAGAGTAAGATGAAGAAAGAGAGGAAGGTAGAGAGAAACATCGATGTGAGAAAGAATCATCAGTTGTTTGCCTCCCAAACACGCCTGGACCAGGGACTGCAGGTTCTCAGACCAGGGATCAAGTCTGCAGCCTAGGTATGCTTCCCGACTGGGACTCAAACCAGCAAACTTTCGGCTATGGGATGACAGTCCAACCAACTGAGCCACACCAGCCAGGGCTCAGTTTAAAGCCTTTTTAAAGTTAATTTTTATTTTTTTATTAAACTTTTGTATTGTGATATAATTCATATAATATAAAATTCACTCTTTTAAAGTATACAATTCACTGATTATTAGTGTATTCACAAGACTGTGTAACTATCATCATAATCTAATTGCAGGACATTTTCATCACCCCCCTCAAATATCGGTATCCATTGGTTGTCCATACTCCCCTTCCCCCAAGCCCTAGGCAACCACTAATATACCTTGTCTCTAAGGATTTGCTTCCTTGGAAAATGTCCTATAATTAGAACATAAGACACATGGCCTTTTGTGTCTGGCTATTTCACTTAGCACAATGTCTTCAAGGTTCATGCACATGGCAGTATATATCAGTACTTCATTCCTTTTTAGGATGAATAATCTTCCATTACGTGGACATCTCCTCATCAGTTGATGGACATTTATGTTGTTTCCACTTTTTGGCTATTATGAATACTGCTGTTACGAACATTGGTGTATTAGTTTTTGTGTGGTGTACATTTTTAAGCAGTATATAATCTCTAGGCTTTGAGCTAAGTACCTGTCCACTCAGGAAACTGGAAGCTGGAGAGTGTATGTTTTTGTCTGTCTTTCTGTGTGTGGGAACAAAGTTCCTGGATGTTTACAAAGAGCCTTTGGGTTCAAGAAGCAGCCAGAAGGGCTGAGTCAACTGTTAATATCTTAACACTACCCTACACGCTTCAACTCTCCCCGGCTTCATGCCTCACCTTCTGTCTGAACCACAGTGTAAGTGAGCCCTGCAGGGTGGGAAACGGACCATGACGTTCATGCCCAAAGAAGCCAGTGTACACACATAGACACACATGGCATATCTTTCTATTATGCTTTTTGGATAAAAGGAAAAGTGATATGTATCATTTTAAGATTCAAGAAAAGCAAGGGTAAAAATCCTGCTCTCAAGTTAGTGGGGGCGGGGGGGGGGCGCGAATCACTCATCAATCAATGGATATGATGATGCCCAAATGTTACTTTGGTTAGAAAAAAAATCCCACACAAACTCCCACTTTTCTCTCCTTTGGTCCTAAAACTTTCATCACTGCACTGCAGGGCATCTGTGGACAAACACATGTGGTGGGCCAGACAGCTGTTCACCAGTGTCCTCTAGTTTTATTCCTAGTAATCCACCCCGTTTTGGCCTTCCTCTGAGGCTGTGATTTCCCACCGCCTATCACTTGGCCCTGGAATGGCTGTGAGGATTCTTCCTGCCCAGGCTTCATTCTAAAAATGAATCTGCACCCTCTTTGTTACCTAATAAGGCAGAGCTAGGCGATGTTTCCTTGCAACTCTGTTATCTCATTCTGGATAAAGGTAGTGAGGTGAGTTGGAAATAAATATAGAAAACCAAAGGGTAAAAAATGTTCACCAAGAATAAGGGAAATATGATACCGAGTGAGAGACAGAGATACAGTATTTCACTGAAAGTTGGCTGATTTGGCCAATATCACTGCATGTGACATATTCAGGTATACGTTTGTAAGACAAGAGGTGTGTACCTGCTTGTTGAAATATCCTCAAAAGGGTAGAGGATCTCTCCATTGTTGCAGATTTCACAGATGAACCCCTTCTGGCTGCAAAGGCTGCAGCTGTACACATGTGAGGTGGCGAATTTAATGACCTTGCCCAGGAATGGAGCCAGCTTTCCCTCCATTACCTGCAGAAAGAGAAATGGGACAGGGAAGCAAGTCATTGAGAATGGAAACCTTGCAGATGAGAAGAACTGGAATTCCTTTCCTTTACGCAACAGGAAAACCTCTAATTATAATTTCTCAGCAACTCTGAGAAAGAAAAGACATAGTATTTTCGCTCCAAAAGAACCCTTTGGTTTAAACCACTGGAGGTTGGAAAATGGAGATGTTGAAACTTCTTTTGTATTCTTCTTTGTAGTGTGGTGTAGGGGATTGGGAGTCCTACTTCCATAGACCAACTTCACAGCTATGGTGAGGAATAAGAGGAGTGTGGTGGAGTTCCTAAAATAGACTGAAAACATACGGGGTAAATACGCATGTAGAACTTCATGCTGTAAATTCAATAATACTCTTTCTCTGATGAGTTAATAGGATAGTTTTTCAGTATCTCCCCCAAGAACACATAACAAATGTAGAAAAATAGGTTTATTTTGCTGCTGACAAGTATCCTAACATAAAGAGGTCACAAATTTGGCAGTATGAGGGTCATATTTAGCCTGGAGGTTAAAAAAAAAAATCTTAGTGTTTTTTAAAAATGAGCCAATTTAATAGTTGGGAGATTTCACATACAAATCTAAATTTTGTGGCTTCTTTTGAAAAACTCCTTAGATCTAGCAGAACCAGGCGTGAACTCTAACATGCGAGGGTATCGGCTGTGACAGGGGCAGCTCGCTCCCACTGGGGCATGTGCTCTCCTGGGGACACTTGTCCCCACTAGGCCCTGGTGTCTTGCATCTGCCTACCTCCCACAGTTACCTCACCTCCTGGCCCGCGAACACCCAGGATTTTGGAACTGATGGTTGGTCAGATCCCTCCTCACTTAACTAACACTGCATGGGCTTCAAAGAGTCTAGCAGTTCATACAGTAACAAGATAAAGCCTGCCTTTATTTCTATTGGTGCAAATGTATACATATGCTGATTTGGATACAGGAAAAAAAGATGAAATTTAATTTGGAAATAATTGGAAATAGATGGATACCTTCAAATGACTACATAGTTAAAATGAAAATTTTACATAAAAAATAACATCTGAGGGCAATGTAAATCATACCTAAAGAGAAATTACCATGTTAAGGAGAATAAATTAGTTGTAACTGACATTACAAAAATAAAAGACTACAAAGAATGTAATACTGTATTTTGCAAAAAATGAAGCTACGAATAGTACTGGAGATAAAGGCTAAAGTGGTTTTAAAGATCACAGCATAATCTCACAATGGCTTAAACATAAATATAACACCAGTTAACTCTAGGCAAGGGAACAAGTTGGAAAAGCAAGTCTTTCACTTTGTATACAGTTTCTTTTTTTTGCGTTTTTAAAACAATGTATATTACTTTTGTATCAAGAGGCAGAAAGTGAACAGAAAAATGAGGTTTACTGCTTTATAAGAGTGGATTTATTTTTCTTAATGAAGACAGTAGAAATTAGGCTGGCTTTTTTTTTTTTTTTTGAATCAAGCAAATCCATTTCCCACCATTATTCAACTTATTTCCCTCTCTATTACCTTCAGAAAGCCATAGGCAGAGCTCTTTTTATTTTTACTTTCTCACGGACCATTAACTTCGGCAGACCCCAGTAAAGCATACTCCTAATACCAACACATGATGCACTTTCTAAGAAATAACCACTACCAAATCATATACCCGGACACCAGCAAACACTTTCCAATGTGTCATAGGGTTATTTCTAAACTGTGGTAACAATATTTCAGTTCTATTTGGTTTTACTTACATTACTCTTTCCTAAACAACCAAGGTTAATGACACATTTAAAGAGAGGCACAAACTATTGTCCATTCAGGGGAAAACATCAGGGTATGGAACAGTTCTAGAAACCAGGTGGGTGAAGGTTGTTTGGAGGAGCTGAGGATGAGAAGACCTTGAGGAAGACCTGAGAGTTATCACCTAGGATCTAAAGGAGCAGACTGGGCATCCAGAGCATAAAGCTTTGCCCTGTCTAGATGATCTCCTTGAGACAAACGGTGTACACATTGTGAAACATTTTGAAATATTTCACCAAACTTACACTGCCAACAATGTATGCTTATTTCTACCCAGGGGTTTTAATAAGCTTTAAAGAGTTAATTTGGGGATTGCTATCCTTATAATATTTAGTCTCCCTATCAAAGGACCTGACCTGTATCTCCATTTTATTTTTTTTAAATTGTATTTTACTGATTATGATATTACAGTTGTACCAATTCCCCCGCCCCCCCCACTCAGCACTCCCAACTCCCTCAGGCAACCCCCACGCCATTGTTCATGTCCATGGGTCATGAGTATAAGTTCTTTGGCTACTCCATTTCCTATGCTGTACTTTACATCCCCGTGGCTATTCTGTAACAACCTATTTGTACTTTTTAGTCCCCTCACCTCTTCACTCATTCCCCCACACCTCCCTACCATCTGACAACCATGAAAACACTCTCCGTATCCATGATTCTGTCTTTGTTCTTCTTGTTTGCTTAGATTGTTTTTTAAGTAATTAATTTTTTTAGAGAGAGGGGAAGGAAGGGAGAAAGAGAGGGAGAGAAACATCAATGTGTGGTTGTCTCTTGCATGTCCCCCACTGGAGACCTGGCCCAAACCCAGACACATGCCCTGACCTGGAATTCAACTGGTGACCCTTCAGCTCGCAGGCTGGCATTCAGACCAATGAGCCACACCAGCCGGGGCTAGATTCAATTGTCGATAGATATGTATTTATTGCCGTTTCATATAGTTTTCATGTTCTTCTTTTTCTTAAATCTCCATTTTCTTAAATCTTCATTTATTATTGCTTAATAAAAATTTGCTTTCTTCCCTGTATAAGCCACTCATGTTTGTTATATTTAGGTAATTTCAAAGTTGAACTGCTATGTAACATTTTTTTTCTTGTTAGCTATTGCTGGTATATTAGAATATATTGACTTCTGTGTACATCTAGTATATGACTATATCTTACTGAATTTTCAGGAATGCAAATCATTTTTAGGTGAATCTTATGGGTTTTCTGAAAGTAATAACCTGGTCCCTTCCTCTCTAATATTATACCTCTTGTTTATGTTTCATGTCTTATTGCATCACCCAGTGCTCCGAAACCAGTATTAAGTACCAATGGTGTTAGTGGACATTCTTGCTATTGCAAAGAGAATCAGACTGGAAATTATGGAGTGTAGCGAGAGGCCCATTTTCTCCATTAGGAACACATACACGTTTTGTCATTCATCACATTTTATTGATTCCCTCTCTTTTCAAATTATAGCTTTACTGAGATATAATTCACCATACCATGTAATTCACCTATTTAAAGTCTAGAATTAAATGGCTTTTAGTTTATTCACAGAGTTGTGTACCAGCACCACCATCAATTTTTGAGCATTTCTTTAACTCTTCCAAAAAGCCTTGGACCCATTAGCAATTACTCCTTCCCTCCCCCCAACCCCCGCCAAACCGCTCCCAAGCCCTAAGCAACCAATAATCTAATTTGTCTCCACATATTTACCTATTTTGAACATTTCATATACATGGAATCATACAGTATGTGGTCTTTTGTGATTTGCTTCCTTCACTTAGCATAACATTTTCAAAGTTCATGTTGATTCTCTTTTAAATGTCTCTGGTGTAAGTCTCTTTTTCTCGTCTTGCCCAACACTCTTATCACTCCTCTCAATCTTCTAATTTTAATTCCAGATGTCAGTCTTTTTCCTTCAACCCAAATAGCGTGTTTACTAATCAGTTTTAGACTCCACTTTCATCATGTGTCATCTCTTCCCTCAAACCCTGGCAAACTCTTATTTTATCATTAATAAAAACTCTCTCTTCATTCATTTCATAGCGTTGTATTGAATTACTACGTCCCATATACTTGATACAAGAGTGAACTGGGCAAAACTGGATCTTACATTTTCCTGATGTGCAGGTGTCTCCATAAGCTGATTCCATGCACTCCATCCAAACTGATTTTCCACTTCTTACTATGCACCTTCTGCTGTGAGCAAGCTTTTCCTCCTGCAGAATATGCTTATTCTTGCTCTTGTGCCTTCACCCATGTCATTTCCTCTATCTAAAGTTTCGCTTCTTTTCTTAACACTTATTTAAATTTCACCTAGGCTTCATGGCTTGGATCTATTCTGGCATGATCTGGAAAGCCATCTTTGGCAACTTCAGCTGTTTGGATCTCTTGTGCTTCACATAAATTACTTTTACATTGTGTAATTTAATATAGAACTCAATGCTGTTTTGTACTCTTTGCCATTGTTTAAAATGTGATTGTTTTGCTTATCCAACTGTTGACTGAACATATCGAAATGGTGATACTCACTATAAAATGGTGATTTCACTTTAAAAAAATGTCGATTTTATACGGAGCAACCTAAGAGAATGTAAATTGCTTAGAGGCAAAGACTGAGTCTCACGCTTGCCTTAAGTACCCCCCTCTGCCAGGCACCTAAGTGCTCGTTGGCTGGCTGCGGATGCCTCCCGTCTTTTTCCCTTGGCTGTGGCAGTCCTATCTTAGGGCTGTCTTTGTGTCCCCAACATTGTCAGTCATTCTGCTGTGTGACTTAGCGAGGAGCGTAAAGGGTGCATGGATCTGGTGGCAGCTCAGCTACTCAGGGGCTCTTTTTGCTTCTTTTCACTTGATTAATTGCTCTCCCTATTTGTCAGCTTAGGTTCATGACCATGTTCCAAGGGGCTAAAGCTGCTGACAGTTTTCCCTCCAGAAAAGTGAGGTAATAGCCTATAAGTATAGTTTAGACTTTACAAACATTTCTTTAATATTTCAAAAGGAAAACTTTATACTTATAATTTTCCAGGGATTAAGATATATTTAGGAGGTTTAAATCTTATCTTTGAACGCAACTGCTGGCAACACTAGGAACAGGATCCAACAGTCTGGCTTCTGGTCTAGAGGTTTCATCACTACAAAAAAGTAGGTTCCAAGAGTGGTATCTCCTAGGGTTCTTTTTAAAAATCACATATAT